CTGTCTTTCTTAGGCCAGTGGAAGCATTGTTGTGAAGAACTTATGAAAATTGAGATTATGTCACCACGGAAACCACCTTTGTTCTTGACAAAAGAGGCGACCTCAGTCTACCATGATATGAGTAAGTGGGGTTTGTCTTTTCTAAGCTGCAGGATAACAAAAACAACATTGTCCATACTCAGGCAGCTTATTCTATTGACATTAAAATGCTAAAATTTTCAGGGCACAGTCAAATGAATGAAAAAAGACGATGATTATAGACTAAGGAACTCATGTTTAATAGATGAATTAATACAAAATTAATGAATACATATTTTTCATAGTTTGAATGCTTAAGATCAAACAAAAATGTTAAGGCTTCCAAATGAATAAGAGTGCACTGAAAATAAATATTAGCTGAGTAGCTGATGAAAATTCTGAAAATGTAAACTTGCAGATTCTAAAATATAATCATGTTTAGTAATTTTTTTGTGTGTTTTCTTAAATTTGTTTTAAAGTAATGTTGAAAATGAATATTAATAAATCGAAGCTTTAATTTCAGGCCAAAAAATTGGTTTCATACTTGGGAAAATTTAAAATTTCTCGACTCATTAATATTCCATTTTTCCATACTTTGAAGGAAGTATATTTATCTTTGTAGGATTGCCTCAGTGAACAGTGTTGTGAACAAGCACAAGTCAATGTTAAATTCTAGTCCATTTTGCCACAATGTCCCTGCACTTACATATGCTTTAAAATGTTAGATTAAAAATGATACATTTGGGTTTACACACTTGAAAATACCAGTGATTCATTTAATAGACATTTATCTCTGTTGTCTTATTTTTCCCAGGGAACGTTTCATCCAGTAGCGTTATCACCAAAGTGCTATCAGGGCTTCACTCTGCTTCCCTGGGTTTTTGGTTTTGGACTTTTTCCCTATTAACAGAGACTTTGCTGGTCTACAGAAAAGAATACTAATCTAGTTACATTTGTCCCAGTCTATATATTAGGCTTTTATAAAAAGGGAATCGACTCTTACCTAGATGTCAGATAGATTTTAAATCCAAGAAAAGTTATTTAATAAATATTTAATCTATAGAATTGAATTGAAAAACGTTCTGATGTAACTCCACTCCTTTGAAAGCTAGATTTTTATTTAGGATTATATTTATGCATATATACATTGTGTGCAGTGCGCACACATAATTTCCTTATTTTTTGGTTCTATTGGTATGGTTATTTTTACAAGTAAATGCCAGTAAAAAGAAAAATCTACTTGCTTATTCTAGTCTGCTTTTGATGACGATTATAGATAGCATATTGGTTTGGAAAATAATAACTTAGGTAAAGTGTGCCCTGCTTTTGAATTTTTTTCCCATGTATTTTTTCTTAAAATTTTTACAGGCATTGATTCACCTATAAAACTTGAAAGTTTAACTGATATAATCCAAAAAAAAATTGAAGAGACAAACGGACAGTTCCTTATTGGTCAGCATGAAGAATCCTCACCACCACATTGGGCCACACTCTTTGATGGTGGTCATCAAGTGGTCATTCAGAAAGAGGTGTTATCTCCTGTAAGCAAGCGGTTACATGATGGGAAAGGGAAAAAGAGGCGAGCTCCTCTTCCTCCTTCTGGTAAAGCTCCATTCAGCTTAAAAACACAAAGCAACACAGATCAATTGGTTAAAGACGGCTGGGAAAAAACAACTGTATCTCAGACCTCGCCGTTGGATGCCAAATTATCAACCCTAATGCATCACTTACAGAAACCAATAGCTGCTCCTCGGAAACTTCTTCCCACCAGGAAAAATAGTTTAACTGATGGTGGACACACAGATACGAAAACCAATTTTGAAGTCAAGCCAGTGCCAGCTCCAAGGCAGAAATCTATCAAAAATCTTTTGGACCCTAGATCATGGTTGCAGGCACAAGTATAGAAAACCCTTAAAGTATATGTACAAAACATTTAACAAAGTCCTAAATGTGAAGCTTAATTCAGAAACACTATAGATATAGTAATATGTAATTATGTAGGTAAATATGATAGTGATTTACATCAGTAATAAGCTGTTAGGTATAAAAAATATTTTATAATGAAGAAATGGATTTCTCTTTTACTTCTGATTTTCATCATATAAGTGATTTCCCTAGCGCAGTGCAAAAGGCAGTTTCTAGACAATATCCTAATTGTTGGAAGGGTTAATTTATTCCTAAATTAGTACCAGGCTGTGAACAACCACTAGGCAGAAGAAAGCATTAAAATTTCTTTGGGGAGAGACTGTCTAGTAATTTAAAATGTGTTAAATATGAGCCATATTCTCATTATGAGAATTTTAATACTAACGGAATGTTTCAAAAGTTTTATTCAAACCACAAATTATAGAATCCACCCAAGAAAATGTCTCCTTAGCATTCTGGAATTCTCATCTAATGGCTCACTGGCTCTCATCTATTGTTTAACTCACTGACCTTTCAAATTCCTGGATAAATTTTGGAGTATTAAATTCCTCATCTTTAGAGGGAATTTGTAATGTGCTATTCAAAGTTGTTTCCTTGATGAGCCCTGAAATCCTGTTGACATTAATTCTCATAAGGGAGGCATAGCATTTATTAGTTTAGAGAAAGGGTAGATGAAATGTTCTTTACTTCCATTTTCCTATGCATGGTGCTAATTTCCATTGTGATATTGGAATTTGGGGAAATGAATAGCTGATTAACACCTTAAAATTCATTTAGTACTTATTTAAAAAGCAGATGGCCAATTCAAAAATATCAGAAAAGTTGGCCATGGTGATAATTTTCAGAATTAATCCTTTTAAAAATTTTAATTAGATTTCCCTTTTCTAGTCAGGGTTGATGTCTGCTATTGATATTATTCATCAGAAGTCCTATTTTTACAATAATGACATCAGAAGCATTTCCATAGGAGGTAATTTCCATAGCAACTGATCACAGTGACCCAAACAGGATTATGAAATCAAGTGAGGAATAAATAGCAAGATGAATACCTTAAAGGAACAAAAAACCCATTTTTTTATAATAGTGCTTCTTGTAAACAAGAGCTGAACAATTTGAAAAATCTAATCAGAATTTCCAAATAAAACAGTTTCCATAAGGTGTCAGCAACAGCACTAAAAATCTCAAATCACAGTGAACCCTAAATGTCATTGCATGAGATAAAAATATAAGGATTAAATTACTGCCCTGCATGTAATCTCTGGAGATCTTTTTAAAGCTCATAAGAACTCAATTTGGATCAGAACTACATTATTACAAAGTAAAATGAACACTTGACAAAAAATAACATTAATTTAATGGAGCCTTTCATTATTTTTAGATACCAGAGTCTTTTTTCATTTGTGTAGCATGATGTAACTGCCAGGCTACTTTTGTGTTTGCCCAGGACTCCTAGTAAGAATTGGGACTCGAGGGAGTAATGATATAAAAGCTCTCCTGTGGCTGGCGACAACAGGATAGACATAGTGTTTGACGAGAAGGAAACCCTATATGCTTGTCTGATAGAATTTAGAGACAGTCATGTGTATGAAAACCTAAAAGAAATAGAATTAATTTGTTTCTTCTAACTAGAAGGCTCTCATAAATTTCTGTTGTGATTGCCAGTTCAGTAAATGACATTTTAAAAATCTAATGGATATTCTTTGAATTTTTGTTTATTTTTTAAACCTTACTGCTGTTTTTGACAGCATTTGTGACTGTTATTGCCGGTAAATTATTGAACTTGAAGATGCTGCAGGCAAATTGTTTCTGAAACTGTCATCTAAGCATTCTCTCTCTTCTTTTTTTTTTAGTTGAAGCCTCCCTTATAACAAACCAGTGTTAAAACTTCCAAATTATATTCTTGTCATTTCTCCTCATGCATATTATATCAATAAGGATTTAAGTTGAGCAAGAAAGAGAATTTATTCATAGAGAAATTACCTAGCAGTTGTGCCTTCAATGGGACACTTTGAAACAAGGCTGACGCCCTTGTTCCTAGAGCCATTTAGGTGAAGCCTGACCAAAGACCACCTTCCCCTCACCCCCCAATTATTCAGGCTGTTTCTGGGGCCCTTCTTACTGTATGTTACTTTGAAATCGAGCTCAAGTCTTTAGCTGCATTTCCTTTGACATTGCACTCATTAAATGTTAGTTCGCTTCCCCCGAAAAGGTATAATACAAAGTTGGGGCTCCCCTTCCTTCCTTCCTTCCTTTCTTCCATCCTTCCTTCCTTCCACAGTTAAAAAAAATCTTTCCGTTGTTTCCCTTGCCTGAGGAACCATGATATTCAAAAAGATACTGCTGAGACTGATGTCAAAGAGCATACTGCTTATGTTCTCTTCTAGAAGTTTCACGGTTTCAGGTCTTACATTCAAGTCTTTAATCCATTTTGAGTTAATTTTTGTGTATGGTGTAAGATAATAGTCTGCTTTCATTCTTTTGCATGTGGCTGTCCAGTTTTCCCTGCACCACTTATTGAAGAGACTCTCCCTTCTCCATTGGATGTTCTTGGCTCCTTTGTCCAAGATTAGCTGTCTATAGATGTGTGGTTTTATTTCTGGGTTCTCAGCTCTGTTCTATTGATACGAGTGTCTGTTTTTGTGCCCGTACCATGCTGTTTTGATTACTATAGCTTTGTAGTATTTTTCGAAATCAGGAAGTGTGATACCTCCAGCTTTGTTCTTTTTTCTCAGGATTGCTCTGGCTATTTGGGGTCTTTTGTTGTTCCATATAAATTTTAGGATTCTTTTTTCTCTTTCTGTGAAATATGTCATTGAGATTCTGATTGGGATTGCATTGAATCTGTAGATTGCTTTAGGTAATATGGGTATTTTTAACTATGTTTATTCTTCCAATTCATGAGCATAAAATATCTTTCCATTTCTTTATGTCTTCTTAAATTTCTTTCAATAATATCTTATAGTTTTCATTGATAGGTCTTTCACTTCCTTGGTTAAATTTATTTCTAGGTATTTTATTCTATTTGTTGTGATTCTAAATGGAATTGTATTCTTGAGTTCTCTTTCTGCTAGTTTGTTATTAGTGTTTAGAAATGCAACTGATGTTTGTATGTGGATTTTGTACCCTGCAACTATACTGTATTCATTAATTATTTCTAATAGTTTTTTCCTGGATTCTGTAGAGTTTTCTATATTTGGAATTATGTCCAAAAAATCTAAAAATACTGAGTTAAACACTTTGTCAAAGAAGTGCTTGTTTTCTCATTTCCTAAAGCGGAAGTTTATGACAGAGAAAAATATGCCGTGTAGTAAAAGACATTTCAGCTTTTTATGAGCTGGCTTTTCACATTCCTTGTTTGTCCTTTTAATTTGTTTCTTGATATATGAAGACTATAAACTTGAAACTAAGAGTTAGCTATCAGATCTTGATAATAATATTATAATTGGAGAAACATAATAGAAAAAATAGATACTTTATGATATTGTGATAATTCTGATGATCTGAAGACAATGTCTTGGAAAGTTACATTTACATTTCAGGCTCTTGGATGTCAATTACTTACAATAACATTAAGATAGTATTATTTTTAATTGCTACAAAGTGGTAAGCTTTTTATTTAAACATCCAGCAAGGAGAAAGAAGGCATTTTGTTATTATAAACACACACTTCCCAAAGTAAATAGTCTTTCAAAATAACAGGCATGCCAAGTCTTAGTGAGTTTTGTTAAACCTCCTTAACTGTCTGCCGTGCCCCCGACTTCTTTCAAATGGATGTGCATGGATGTGGAAAACAATCCATTTATTATACATGCCTCATCTTTACCCTTTAGGATCCTACCAAATGTGTTTTACCTGGTACTGTTTATTAAAGATGGAAGCTGTCTTGATTTAGAGACAATTCATGTAAGGTAGGTTAAGCAGTCAAATATTTCTTGAGGCTTATGTTCAGCACCTCAGCCACCTACTGAGAAGTTAATTAATTCAGTCCAAAATGAAATTATAGGGCAGTTTAGTGCTGTTTGTGTTAAATGCCATTGGAATATAATCACCTGTGTTACCATGAATGAGGAACAACTGTATTAGACAGAGGTGGAATGCTGCACAGGAACAAGAAGAGAAGTGCTTTGGCAGGAAGAATATCTGTCCCTGTGGTCAGAATTTATCAAAACTCATTGTCTTTTTAAAGAGTGAATTATTGAATGGTAAGTAGACTTTAACTGATGACCACTCATATTCTAGTAGTTTTCTTCAGTGTTCTATTAGTCTTAATCTATAATATAGATAGAGTTGACTTTTTTGCACTTACTTTTCAAAAACATTACTATTTTTAAACGTTTACCTGTAACTGCTTCATTCTTAATAATAGTTATGTGAAAATGGTTTATTCTGGATCATGCGTATTCTTAGTTAACACTAGAAAAGATGTTACTTTTGAATTTATTTTTTATTTTTTTGTGAAGAAGAATGGCCCTGAGCTAACCATCTGTGCCAAGCTTCCTCTATTTTGTCTGTGGGACACCGCCACAGTATGGCTTCATGAGCATTGTGTAGGTCCTCACCTGGGATCCAAACCCGGGGCTGCCAAAAGGAAGTGTGTGAACTTAACCACTACACCACCAGGCTGACCCACTTTTGAATTTTTAAAACACAAGATTTCGTTTGAAAATAGGGTGTGTTACTTTCTATGCTTGTATAATTGGCATTGTTTGTAATTTTTATTTTTTAATTAAATGTGAGTCAAGCCTCTAGATTGAAAAGTATTATGTATGTATTTTTTAAAGTACCAAAGATTGGTAAAGGAGCCAAGGTCATTTGATAAAACTTCTGCACATTAAAAGAACTAGTTCATGAAGAACTTTTTTAGCTTTTTTCCTTAGGTACCCCCTCTGGGCATTCTGATAGAAGTAAACAGTGTTGTGAAATCAGTTTAATCAGGGAAAGACATAACCAAGAACTGGTGTCAGTCATTATAAGACTAATATTTGATAGCCTTGGTATAACTAACATTTATTAAAATGTTTGCATGTAATCCTTATTACAGTGTACTCTTTTAAAAATCCATTCATGTAAACTTAGTTTTACGTTTGATACAGAATTTCTCCAGAGCTTAAGTCGCTCTAATAACAAATTAGGGCCCTAGGATACTCTGTTGCTGTTAGCTACAAGAAGACTCTTTATTTTAATGCACCTCCCTCACTACTTAATTTTTTCCCATGGAGCACCTCAGGGGAGGAGGAGAGAAAGAGGAATCCTCGCTCAATTATATTATTTCAACATTTTATTCCTAAATCTGGAGTGTGACCAGAAATATTTCACATTTCTTTTCAAAAACACTTGCCTTTCTCTAAGGAGAGAAGCCTACTAATCAATGTGCGCAAATAAACAAAGCACCTTAAGGTTCAATTAACAAAAAATAAACTATTACAGAAATGTTAACAAACATTTTTATTTGTTTAAATATAGGAAAAAATACCAATCCCAGCATGTTTGATAATTAGAAAGCTAGGCAAAATTATTCTAAATCTTACTGAAAATTGTGTTTTCAATTGCAACAGTTTGCTTTGAGAAATATGGTAATCTCTTAATGTAACTACTGAAGGAGAGAAAGAGTGATAAGATCTTGTAAATATATAATTATGCTGTGTCATAAACACATTTCAAGATAGCAAAATAGATTGTTTTGTTGCAAATGGATACTTTTTTGAGTGTGGTATCAAGTTATTTTTTATGTTTGTTTACTCAAAAGAAAATTTTTGTTTTTGTTTTTGCGAATAGATACATTTTTGTTGAATTTAGCCATCTTAATAAACATATATTTTAACTTAATTGGTTGTAGCTATTTTAACTTTGTATTGAAGATGAGAAAAGGTATTAAGAAGAGTTAGTCATCTACGTACCTCAAGTATTAAAACATGTTTTATATATATAAAACTACAGATACATACATACATATACATATATGTACATTTAAGTCTTCAATCCATATATTTTCAGTTAGTTGTAAAGGATTCCTTTAAAATGTGCTGCCAGTGCTTGCAGAGTGAAAGTCCAGGCCCCTTCCACAGCTCACAGGAAGCGTCACAGCCGCCTCCGACCTGCCACACCCTTCACGGCCCTTCACTCTCGTGGCTCTCATGTTTTGGACATTGCCTCAACAATCTGTGTGGTTTCTGCTTGCTCATCATTTTCTTATGCTATCCTCTCTTTGCCTAGAATATTCCTTCCTCCCTCTCTTCTTCATACAATGTCCCCTCGACCCACAGTCAGCAAATTTTATTCATTCTTCAGAATGGTAGCACCTCTAAATGGGCCCACACTTTGTGCCCTCCTCAGCCTCTCCACCTAGGTAGAGTTATATGCCTTCCTTTGTGCCTCATAGATCCCTCTATTTATAGCCTAAGCCTTTGTTCATATTTTTGTCTTCCTCTGTGTATTAGTTTTGTGCATTTGTCCCCTGTATAACAAATTACCATAAACTTATGAACTTAAAACGACACCATTCCTCATCTCATGTTTCTTTAGCTCGGAAGTCTGGATGAGCTCCAATGGATTCTCTGCTTAGGATCCCACAAGGCTGAAATCAAGGTGTCCGCCATGCTGGTCTCTAATCTGGAGGCTCTGGTAAAAATCCGCTTCCAGGCCTATTCAGGTTGTGGGCAGAATTCAGTTCCTCAAGCTGTGTTTTGGCCAGGGGTCACTCTCAGCTCCTAGAGGCTGCTCTCCAGTCCTTGCACATGGCTCCCTCAGTCTTCAGGAGACAGCAACAGCTCATTAAATCTGGCACATCGAATTTTCCATGTGGAGGATTTGAATCTGGCTGACTTTTCCGTCCACTACCAACTGGAGAAAACTGCTTTTCAGGGCTCGTGTGATTAGATATAGCCCAGCAAGATAGTTTTCCTTTTGATTAATTCAAGGTCCACTGATTAGTAACCTTAACTACATCTGGAAAAATCCCTTTTACATATAACATACCCATGGGCATAACATCATATCATAGGGCAGGAAGCCTTGGGGTACTGTTTTAGAATTCCGCCTACCACAAGTTAGACAAATTGTTCAAGAGCAGGAGTAGGGAGCATGTCTTATTTGACCTTTTAACCCTGTCAGGATGTAATGATAATGAGGACTGATTATTGGTTATTTATTATGTGTAAGTTGTTGTGCTAAGTACATGAATTAACTCATTTAATCCTTACATAGCCCTCCTACTAACCCCACTAAACTGTAGAAGACCTGCCCTGGGTCACACTGCATGTAGTTAAGAGTATGAATTCTGGAATTAGACCTGGATGAAATTCTAGCTCTGCCATGACCTAGTTGTGTGATTTGGACTGATTGTTTTTCTAAACCTCATCTAAGTTTTTGGGGTGTTTTTTTTTTTAATCTTTAAGATAAAAATAGTACTTACCTCATAGGATAGTTGTGATTATTAAATAAGATGACACATGTAACAAGTAGCCCAGAGCCTGGCATGTAAGTTCTTACATTGTTTCTCTAGTGTGGCATATAGTATGTAAGAAATGTAGAAAGAGAAGGAGAAGATATAGCTGAGATATATATATATATATGATGTGTAGATATACAGACATACATACATGTATCTTAAAAGAACTTATAACCACTGCCCTGTTTTCATTTTTTGCTTGATGTAAACATTTTAGACTTATCAGTGAATTTGATACCTAAAAATGTGTCCAAATACTTATTGTCCATATATTAGAATCCTATATTAAACACTTTTGGGGTTTATAAAATTAGAAGAATACTTATTCTTGAGAAGTTCACATTCTGGTTGGTGGGATCACCCATATTGGAGAATGCTGAGATGAATTACTGCTTCAACTTGTCTCCCATATACCTAAGTATATCTGTATAGAGACATTTAAAACAATCCCTACCTATCATCAGTGAACTTAAGAAATTAGTTGAAAGATAAAATAACACATGAAACAACAGTGGGCAGTAAACAAGTGTAGTCAGTGTAACACAATTAAGCATCTAACTTTAAGTGCTATGACAGAGCAGTGAGGAGTGTGAGAACTTTTACAAAGCAATTTTTCAACAAGTGCAAAAGGCCTTGTATCTTTGTACTACTAAAATAATGATCTAAACAGTGCAAAATTATATACTATGAATATCTTGGATTGACGTCAGAAGGAGTCATAATAGGAAGATTTTTCAAATCCAGAAGAATTAAGTAAAATAGAAGTCAGCTTATCCAGTAGTTTCCTGGATGAGTTTAATTTTACAGCATCCAAATCTAAGAGAGGTTAGTAGTCATGGAAGTTGTGGAAAGGAATGGATTGGATAGGGCAGTGAGCCTATTGTTGAGGTAAGAATCAACAAAACATGTTGTAAAATGAACAGGTGACGTGACTGAAGTAAACATGGGCAATAGGAGAAAGGTAGGATATGCTGGACCACGTGCAGGACCTTGAATGCCAGTTCAAGAAAATAAGATGAGTTAAACTAAGAAGGAGTAGTTGGCATCAGGACTAGAGTTGGCAGAGTTAATGGGAAGAGCACTCACCTTATGAGTTGAGGGAATTGGATTCTAGTCCTTGGTTTACCATTAACTAGCCATGTTGCCTTGGACAAGCTATTTATTCATCTGTTCAACTTGCTTTTCCATAAAACCACTGGAATGGCTGTTGGTGTTTGTCGCAAGGTAATCCAGAGAGCCCTAGGCTTCTGAGTTACTGCCTTTAGAGGTGGCAACCAGTGAGAGTGATGCCAAGTGAGTGAGCCTCTGGTTCTCCTAATTCATTTAGAGCAGCTCCAGATTGATCTGTTCTATGTTTTCACCCCTTATATTCTCACCCTTATATATACTACCCATAAGGTAGTAGTATAACAATCATCATTTTACAGATGAGCAGTTTGAGGCACAGACCATTAAGTAACTTGCCCAAGGTCTCATGGTGAGTGAGACAGGATTTGAACCTAATCGGTCATGATCTGAAGTAAGTGCCCAAGCTCTTCATTGTACTGATAGTCTCTAATAAAAAGACTCACTGAGAGTAAGTTTTGCCACACTAGCCTCCAAACTTGTTTTCCCAAGTGATGTGGTCACTTGCTATATCCCTTTGTAATAAGGCCCCAAGTGAAATCCATTTCATTCACAATTATATCCACCTAAACTATTCTGGGCATGATGTCTGGCCCTGGGAGGCGTTTGGGAGGGGAGCTTTGAGTATATGTCAACCTGACTTTACTTCCAGGCTGTGGAAAGCATTGTAATAGAAATATGAAGGAGAAGAAAAGATAAATTCCATCTGAACACATCTGGGAGAACTGGAAGAAGTGCTATTTGAGCCAGGACTTGAAGTATGAGTTGCTTTTCATTAATTACATTTCTTTGGGTAGAAATCAAAAAAAGCTAACATAAGTCAAAAAAAAAAAAAGGGGGGGGGGGTATTTATTGAAAGGCTATGGGAATCACCCAAGGAGTGAAGGAAGACTAGGAAAGGTTGGACAGGACAAGTCTAGGTCTTCAGCAACACAAAGACTGAAAGAATAACGTCTTGTTCCTCTCCTGGCTTGTTAGTATAGTCTTTTAGAGTAGTGACTACATCAACATATTAAAACGATTTAATACCGGGGTTACGAATTGAATCACAGAACTTAAGATCTAGGATTGTGGTTCTAAATCAGGAGTGATTTGTGTCCACCGTGGAACATTTGACAATGTCTGGAGACATTTTTGATTGCCATTACTGGGGTTTTTGGGTGCTGCTCGAATCTGGTGGGAAAAGACTAGGGATGCCGCTAAATATAAAGTCAGAACTGGGCTATAAAGATATGGGAAAGAGCATTCTGAGCAGAGGAAACAGAATGAACAATGGGGCCGGAGCATTATGGTGGTTTAAAGTATGTTCACAAATTCTTTGACATTTCTCTTCAAAGGTGGAGCCTAATTCCCCTCCCCTTGAATATGGACTTAGTGATTCTCTCCTAATGAATAGAATATGGTGGAAGTGATGCTGTATGACTCGTGAGGCTAGGTCATAAAAAGGATAGCTTATCCCTAAGCACTCTCTCGGATCACTCAGTTTGAGGGAAGCCAGCAACTACACTCAAACAGTCCTGGAAGAGGCACATGTGGAGAGGAGCTGAGACCACCCACCAGCCAGCACCAGCTTTTGAGGGAGCCACTTCGGAAGCAGTCCTCAAGCCCAGGCATGACTGCGACGTGCTGAGAAATTCCAAGCCAGAACCACCCAGCCAAGCGCCTCCTAAATTCTTGACCTATAGAAACGGATAATAAGATAATAAATGTTTATTGTTTTAACCAGTAAGTTTTGGGGTAATTTGTTTCCATAGCAATAGATAACTTTAAAAAGCATGAAAATATAGGAGATGCCAAGGGCTTGAAGTGGTTTAATTGCCTGTGGTTGGGGATTAGTGAGAAATGAGGTTGACTAGGCAGGCAGAGTCAGATCACGGAAGGCCTTGAATGTCAAGCTAGAGTGTTTACCTTTTATTTGGTAGCTGACGAATCTGCCACATGGGCTCAGTATGTCCAGGTCACATCTGACTTATTCTCTGTTAGAGTAGTAAGGGCAGAAGTAGCTATAATTAGTATTGGGGAACATGCTCATTGTTCAATTGTCTCTAGAAGAAGGAAGAAAAGTAACCAGTACCTATTAAGTTCGTGGAGGGCGGGGGCCATTATTTCAGCCATGCTTTGTCAGTATAAAGGTGCTGACAGGATCAAGCCTCCCCTGGCTTCATACAAATTTTTTAAGAAGAGAAAAATCTTCTCACTTGTATTCAGGTCACCAATGTGACACCATTGACTTGATTTTTCCTACTGCCAGCCTTTTTGCAAGGAGAGGGTGTCACATTAAATTGCTTCCACCTGTGACATCTTAGCGTGACTGAGTTTATCAAATCCTCTTTTCAGTAGGCAAGAGGAAAGGAGAGGCCTGAGGGTTGTGAGGAGTGACACAGAGGGGCGAACAGATTGAAGGGAGGAGGCATTCAGGGGCCCAGGGCAAACCTCATTTACATGCATCCTCACCAAGGGCTTTAAATGGAGTCCAGGATTCCTGCTCCCCAATGTGGGAAATTTAACTGTACATTTTTTTTGGCTTGTTTTTTTTTTTTTGTAATTTGTGATACCAAAAGTGTTTTTTAAATAGTCAATTATGAGAGCAAAGCTTCCATCATCCCCGAATCAGTCACTCAAGATTTCTCTGGAAAATTAGAATAATGTGCCCAGTACACTTCAACCCCTTTGCTATATTATGCAGCCAGGCATCCCAAGTCATTAAATTCCACAAAAATTTGGAGATATGGTTCCACTTTAGATTGATTTCAACCTAAATCAATTACTAAAATAAAATGCTTAGAGTGGAGAACCCAGAAAGTGTTGGACTAAATGTAGTGTAAGCCTTATCAACACCAGTGAAAATAATCTGTTGTTTAACTTTCTGCCATGAACTTCCTGGGAAGCAGTCAATAACTTGTACTATTAATATAATGTTTGGGGGGGAAAAACATATTCAGTGAACACTTTGCTAGTCCCCATCATATGTAGGATTCTGCTAGCTGCCTGGGCATTTGAAGATGAGGATGAAGGCAAGTCTCTGTCCTCATGGAGATTATAGATTAGTTTGATTGATTCATGGGATTTAGTTCCAGTGTCAGAAAAAAAACAAATATTTTTCTGATCAGTAACCAGCATTAAAATGACAATAGTACAATGCTGTGCTTTTGTTTTGTTTTAGCAGCAAAACCCATTTCCAAACAAAATCTTATGTACACCTTTTAATACATACAACAGATCAAAGTGGACCTACTCTGGAGTGGGAAGGGAGTGAAGACTTCTTGGTCTCCCTATCCTTTTTCCTTCCGCATCCCACTCGCTAGCAGTGCCAGAAGGTTCTCAGAACAGTTTGACAACCGCTGGTCTACTGCATTGCTTGAATCTTAGTGAAGTCCTGCTAGACTTCAGTTTAGAAGCTGATGAGCTTTAGACTAACTCCTCGTTTTCCTTCTTCCTTTGGCCTCTTAGAACTTTACATTTTGCCTGCTCAGTACGGGATTACTCGCTAAACAAAATTAAGCAATGCTCGGTCCAATAAAACACACGCATATACACTGGAAAGAGACCAGATTTTTCAATAAGAAAAAAAAACTGTATTAATTCCAGCTCATATATAAGATTTATATTTTATGAGTTGGGATTGTATTGCTTTTGAATTATATGGAGTGGAGGGAAGAGGGCACCAAAATCTTCAGTGCTAGAGTCTCCCAAAGGCTTAATTTCCCAATAGTTAGCCCTCAACTGATACCTGGGACCGTGAATCTGGGAGAGAATGTATCTCCTTAAATCCCACATCTTCTCTCACGGGGCTGAGAGCCACATTCTCTATTATGCCAGTACCCATTCAGGTTAAGAAACAGAAGAATGCAAAGATGTTCACCGTGTTCTATCTTCTCCCTCGGTTGCAAAGTCTCCATATTGGTGCCCTTCAAACCAAGAGAAGATTCCCTCATCAACCCTGTTTCTAGTAAATTGCTCATTTAAACTCATCCTTCCTTATCAAAACTTTGTATAAATATTTGGAGGGGAACTTTTTTCGGAACTTCACAATATCTGGATGCATTAAGTAGAAACTTTAGCTGAAGTATAGAATATTTCCCTAACGTAAAACAAAACAAGCACAAAATAAATGCTTCTATGCTAAGAATAGGTGAGAGTGAGATCCCCTAGGCAAGGGAGTCCGGCATGGAGTAGAGAAAAGCAAAGGTGTGATGGCCCAGCTCCCACCCATGGTCGGTCACATCTTACAGTCTCCCTCCATTGCAGTGCTGACAGCACACACCCTGGGTTCGAGTCCCAGGGGTGCTGCCCTTATAGACTGGCCTTAGGCCAGTCCTCCTAATTCTGCTAAGCCCCAGATCCTGTAAAATGGTAATAATAAGACCTTCTTCAGAGAGTCATTGCAAGGATTCATGAGGAACTGTATATAAAGCTCTGTGTAAAATTCCAAGAAAACAGTGTCCAATAAATGTTAGCTACTAAGGCTGTTATCATCATCCCAATCCCTGAAGTTGTTCTAAGTGCAAGAGGCATCTATTGTGCTCCTGCATTATTTAGGAAACCACCCAACTTAGGCTGGCTGTAAGGTGAGAAGCCATGGTCACATGTAACTGTACCACCAATTCTGATGTTAGGTTAACCTGGACTCTTCCGAAGGGAACCAGACCAAGAGCTCTTCCTTTGATGTCTCACCACAATTTGAAGGTGAGGCAATGTCTTTGCCAGAAGCATTTTTTGAATCGGAGCTGGAGGAACTGATGCAATCAAATGCTCGTTAGCTTAGGACTCAGTGCTTAAGTGCCTGTCAACTTGGAGAGGCTGCCAATCAAAAATGTAAGTTTTTATTTTTACTGTGGGGGTCTTATTTATGATAAATTATAGAAGCAAAGAGGGGCAAGTTAAATTATCATAAGATGAAGGAAGAGTCATCTGAAGTTGGCACTGAAATCAGAAATGTGGGTGGCAAATTAATTAGAACAGGGAGGCAAAAGCAAAGGGAAAGATTTTAGCAAGATTTCTGGGGACAGGGGGATGGTGGTGGCACCGGGGACCCCGGCCTGACCATTGATCACTTAGTGGCTTACCTGTAAAATTTGACAGACATTTGACCAGTGAATGGAAGATTTCTACTGAGCTGCAGACAAAAGAATATCTGGTAAAGGCTGTACTTTAATTCTCGCTTCAGTAATTAACAAGGCCTGTTTGTTTTCTTTACTCCTCTCGGGTTTGAGATCATTGTTTAAATAATTATAAAATATAAATAGAATATTAGCATCTTGGGTGCATTTGGTTGTTGAGAAATCTTTCTCTAGAGAAAATATAACTTCACAATTACTGTTCTTATTTTAAGTTCCCTAGACTAGAAAAGAACCTCTAAGGAAATCTCCTTCAACCTTCTTCCAGAGGCAGGAGCCGCTTCCCCAACCCATAATATCCATGAATACCCAGCCTCTATTTGACATAATTTTTATCTGGCTGTTTTGTTTTTTTTAAGGCTGTTTGTTTTGAGAACATTCAGTCTGATTTCTTGTAAGTTCCAGTTCTAAGAAAGATCTTCTTACACATTGAGACGGCTCATCTTTTCTGAAACTTGCAACTTTTTCCATTGCCTGCCCTTTGTGATTCTGAATGGTGATGACTTTCTGGTTCTCTCCTCACCTTTGTCGAACTAAAGGTAATTTTTTTTCCAAGTAATAATAGCAAATTTCATAATCTCCAGAAATGGATACTTCCAGCCACCTCCAAATTCCTCTTCCCATGGCGTATCTGGTACTTCATTAGAACAGTTATGCAGAATTTAAAATACAGTGTGGCATTTCTCTGGAAGAATATAATCTTCATGAGGGAAAAGATATGTGTTTTCTTCTTGTATTCTTAGCACCGAATACAGTACCCAACACATAATGATGGCCTTAGGAGCATACTTCAGAGGCATTGAATGAACGTTCTGTAGAGCTGTCATTATTATTTTCCATTCAGCGTTTACCAGTAACTTTATTTTAAAAATGTCTGCTCTTTAGACAGTCACTTCATTGTTCATTAGTACGTGACTTTGGTAAGTATTTCTCCTGTGAAGAGAAATATTATAACAAACTGTTATGGCATTCAACACTGGTATTTCAGTTACTCAACTAATCCACCCACTGATAGAGTGAACTTTGAATTAAATGCTTTGAAGAATAAAGTCAAGTAAATCTTGATAAAAATCAAAGGCTAAGGAAATCTTGTTTGACAGAAGGCATGAACAAAAATGCTAAAATGAATACTGTTTGGGGAGAAACACTCATTCTACGGCAGACTAAATGAAGAGTAATAGTTCAAGAGTATAAAAATGCCTGTGTGATCAAAAGGCAGGAAAAGCTTCTTTTTACTGTGTCTTTTAATATTCCAGGACTCATAATATCCTGCCTACACGAGCACCTGTCTTTGTGGTAACTCAAAGTATTTGAACACCTTATCGCATCCAACCTCAAATTTCCTGTGAGGTAGGTAAGCGCTGAGAGCTCTTGGTACTGTTTTCGAGATGAGGCAAGTGAATTAGAGAGGCTGTTCACGCACTCCAAATTTCACAGAAGCCTGAGGAGGAAGTGAGAGAAGAGCGGGCAGTTCTCTCCCAGTGGTAGAAATCAGCGTCAGGGCTTGAAAGGACATTGTTGATACCCTGGTCCGACGTGGGTTTTCCTGTAAAAACTTATTTGTGGTGACTTGATTCAGTTCACCAACCATACGAATTTTATGTA